AGCTGCAATCTGAATTCACCTGGGAACTTAGACTTGTAAGTAACAGATTCCACTCCAGACCTTTCCGAAACCTCTGGAGTGTGGGGCCCAGCCGCCTGACTTTTAACAAGCCTTACAGGTAGGTGACTGTGATACGCTCAAGTTTGAGAAGCACTCATGTGCGGTATACTTCGTGTTGAACAAAATACCATGATTTTCAGTAATATGGCAGGCCCAAAGTTTGGTGTTTGGGGCTTGGGGAACTGAGCATCAGGAGGCTTGGGTTCTTGTCCTAGTTGGCCTCTGAGAAGGCACATGACCTCACCTTAGTCATTAGACACCTCTGACTTTCCCTCTCTCGCCCTCCACTGCCCCATGACCTAGGTTGTTGAATTGGTTCATTGCTTCCCAAGCTTCGGTTATGCTAAGACAGCCTTTGCAACCTTCCCAAATGTACCCTTCCTGCCTCCCTCTTACCCTCTACTGGCTTCATACTTTGTCTTTAAATGGACTCATTGTTTTCACTTAAAGGAAACTTTAAAAATTGGTAAATGGAAAACTACTGTCATTTGTCACAAATAGAAGGTAACCAATAAAAATAAGCACAGTGATAACATCTTTGATTTATTAAAAAAAAAAGAGAACATCAAGTATAAGAGGTGATAAAGATACACAAGCCCCAAACCAAAATATTTTTTTCATTGTTGTAATCGGAAGCATTAAAATAGAATGTCAAATGGATTGTGAGTCAGTACTATTTATTTGTTTTTTTGAGACAGAGTTTCACTCTGTTGCTCTGGATAGAGTGCCATGGCGTCAGCCTAGTTCACAGCAACCTCAAACTCCTGGGCTCAAGCGATCCTCCTGCCTCAGCCTTCTGAGTAGCTGGGACTACAGGCATATACCACCACGCCCGGGTATTGTTTTCTATATATTTTTAGTTGGCCAATTAAATTCTTTCTATTTTTTAGTAGAAACGGGATCTCACTCTTGCTCAGGCTGGTTTCGAACTCCTGACCTTGAGCGATCCACCCGCCTCGGCCTCCCAGAGTGCTAGAATTACAGGCGTGAGCCACAGCACCCGGCCAAGTTAGTACTATTTAATGCCATGTTGGTACCACCCGTGAAAACTTGCAGAGCACCCAGATTCATTTCACTAATGGTTAATGGTTCATATTCCATTCCCTGGAGTTCACTGCACTCATTGATCTCCAGGGTTCTTTTTTTTTTTTTTTGAGACAGAGTCTCGCTTTGTTGCCCAGGCTAGAGTGAGTGCCGTGGCATCAGCCTAGCTTACAGCAACCTCAAACTCCTGGGCTCAAACAATCCTTCTGCCTCAGCCTCCCAAGTAGCTGGGACTACAGGCATGTGCCACCATGCCCAGCTAATTTTTTCTATATATATTAGTTGGCCAATTAATTTCT